GCCAACCTTTGGATGACAGCCTAGGTAAATGACCCCTAGCGCCATCATACCCTTCACCCAACCGCCTGTCAAAAAAGTGCCCGACTTCGAGTGATTCCCCTCGAATAGGCATCTAGAACCACCTGAGAGCTTAGGTACCAAACAGCGATGCGGAAGACTATGGTCATGGCTAATCGAATCCTTGTCGACCTTGATGTCCCTTTCGAGCTGGCTCCTACGTTGAAGATAATGCCATATCTGTCTCAACGCTCTGCTACCCATTGCCGCTTATACCTGTATAAGGTATGCCTAACGTCTACCTAACGTGTATAAGCACATAGGAACGATGTGCGGATTTGGTGGAAGCTTTGGCTAGTGCCGCAGGACCTTAACGTCTACTTTCTATTGCTACCGGGTCTCTTGGTGGTGTCCGTCTCCTTGGGAGAGAGAGATCGGGTTACAGCGCTCCCAATAAGCTAATGTAAACTTAGACACTCGCATTAGCTCGGGAAAATATATCTTTTCCTTTCGCTCTGACTACGTGTTAGTCAACACCGCAAGATTCGTTTTGCTGTCTCTGCTGTCTCCAGGACGATGTCTGTGTTTCTTACTCGCGCACATCATCGTTATATTGCCCCCTCCATCCCAGGGGCAGGGGTCATAGCTCTCGAGCCGTACCTGGATATAAGTATTCGATGGCGGCTGAAAATGTCTAGGCTAGGCCGGGCATTTAATTGTGTGCCACAACCCCCCCGTGTCTAAGATACTTGCTTCCCTTTGTACATCCAAATCTCCTTCCCGGGTGGTAGGGATTGGTATTAGGAAGACCAGGAAGACCAAGAGAGCTGCATCGCCTGGTCCACTGGTGATCCACTGGTCCACATACACTTGCACTTATACACTTACATTCACACTTTGTACTCTCTACTTCCCCATTATTACATGGGTAAGCTTCTTGTACCCCTGTGTCTTGCTGATAGACCCGAGATGGATAACCTTTTCTCTCTCGCTCTCATATTTAGAAAGCCATAATCCGGATAAGTCTGATTCATACACGTTCGATGTAATTTCTGCGTACATGTATTGTTTGACTGCGTACGGTACATATCGTTAGAATTCATTTATCCTCCTAACATATCCAACCTGACCTTTCCCTCCCCTGCATCCCCCTCACCTTGATATTTAGTGTCTAGCCTTTTGTATCCTCTCTCTCCTCCTGTATAGACGAGCTTTCCTGGTTTTGTTTTTTATTTTTCACTTTACCTACGACCACTTCTTTGGGTAGAAGATTTATAAGTCTCTGGGAGTCTTCGCGGGTGTTCACATCCTTGATATGAGCGAGACTGGACCAAGATAACCATCTTGATCTCACCTGACCTGAACCTACCACGATGGTGTTTTGTGCATACTGCGGAAAGAGCTTTACGCGCAAGGAGCATCTAGAGAGACATATCCCAAGTCGTGAGTGATACTCATTTGCTCTAGAGACTAGTGAAACTGACGCTCGGTGCTATAGACACAAACGTAAAACCGCACAGATGCAGTGCGTGCCAACTGTCCTTCGCCCGAAGGTTTGCTCTTTGACCCTGCGTCTACATATTCAACTATATGCTCATCGAACTACTACAGGGACTTATTACAAAGACATCACTCAACATATCATGAGGCCCGAGATCCTATGGAACCCCTGCCGGGCGGTGTTCCGACGGTAGCAGGACGAACACCCATTGCGTGCCTTAACTGCGCACAAGCTAAGACGGGTTGCGACAAGAGAGTTCCATGCGCACGGTGCGCTGATAAGAATCTCGAATGTCAAGCGCGGTTTGCGCGACGTTCTTCAAAAGCTGCCTTGAGGGCAGCGCAAGCAACAGCTGCTATGAGCAGTACTCCAAACCAGATCACAATACCGCCGCAAACTTCACCAACAACACCAGCCACAACAGTTAACCCTGCCTTTATGGATATAGACCAAAGTGTGGTCAAGCAGGATCCGCCAATAAAAACCTCTATGTCCCCCGAAAATAGCTGTAATGCTATGACAATCGACCCACGAATACAACAGCATGAGAGCCCCGCCAAGAAAAACTCCCCGGCGAACTCTCAAATGAGCTCTGACGATTTCCCATCTCCTCACCCAAGAGTAGAGGGTCTTGACGACTTTCTTCACTTGGGCAACGATTTTATACCACAAGAACCGAATTATCAAGACATGCTGGTTTGGTCTGAGTACCCCTTAGACCTCGACATGTATACCAATAACATGCCTCTCACTCAAGCCGACGTCCCCATGCCCACTTTTAACGAACTTAGCGATATTTCATCTAATTCAGAACATATGAGCTCCTCAAGAGGGTCTATACACACGAGAAGCACTAGCATAATGTCTACGGGGGATTTCGAGTCCGCTATTAAATCTGTTGATATGACCTTGAATACCCCCACCGATACGATGATACCCGAGTTTGAAGTTGTCATCGCGGCTGAGGCTGCTTGGCCCCTGGCTCGGTGTAATCCACCTATATACTCAAATACGTGTCCGAGAACAGCTATCGTTCACTTAGAATGTTTGGAACAGAAATCGCGACAAGAAGGCACCTGGAGTGCCCTGGAGCAATATCTAAAGCAAGTCGACTGGGATGCAACCGACATGGCTTCGGTCATCCCCATGACCTCTCGCACTCGTGATAACATGCTCGCAATAACGCAGACGTTCCTCCACAAGGCCCTTGAAATTCATCGCGGAGGGGTTAATAGCCCAGTCAAGAGCTATACATGTTCAAGGTTGATGAGCTTCTTAGTTCTTCCGCCTTCCAAAATATTGGAATATTTCCTCCGCTCATACGTTCGAAATCTATCTTTCTTCTACTCGCTAGTCTCGGCCGGCTGCGTCGATCCCAATGAGATGCTCCAGAATAACCAGGCGGCGGCGCTTCTTGTCCTGCTCATGATCGCGCAGGGCGCCTCTGCTGTCCCTACGGCAGAAGCAAGGGCTCTCTCAGCTGGTCTGATTGAGACTTGCCGCATCTCGCTATTCGACATTATCGAGAAGGACATCGAGATGTGCGCCGACCCTACCGCGCTTCGATGCGCCCTGCTCTTCACGCTCCTCGGAGCCTGGAGCGGAGACAAGTGGCTTATGGACATAGCCATGGGCCAACGCGGCATGTATCTCTCGGTGAGCATCCAATAATGCAATCTCCCATCTTACACAGCTTCATGCCCCTAACCGAAATATCATGCAGATGCTAAAGCACGCCGGAATGTTCGAATCTCAGCCATCCATGATTCCCACGTTCAGTAGCTCCACCAATGCTGAGCTCCAATGGCGTTCATGGCTACACCGAGAATCCCAAAATAGGTATGTTACTTACGCCACCACATCCGGTATTTCAACCAATAGTCTTATGCAGTACGCTGATCTCTTTCAATAGGCTGGTGTATAATTTTGTCATGGTGGACCAAGAGCTTAGCTTGTTCCATGATACGGCACCAATGCTGTCAACCAGCGAGCTCTGCGCCCCCTTACCTGGTCCCGAGCTACTATGGATGTCGGCCAACGCTGACCAATGGGTCGCTGCCGTACAATCCATCTACGGCTGTACTGCAAACGTCAATCCCCAGCTTCTGACCACACCCCCTTCGCTCACCCCCTCCCTTTACGATCTGTTTCAGGATCTCCTGAATGATAACCTATCAAGGAGGCAGGGCAGCCTGACGCCACATCAATTGCGGCTTTTACTACATCCCCTCCAGTCCTGCTTATTCCACATCACACAGATGCTGTCATGCTTCTCGGATGTCATGGGTACACGGCGTATAGGTAACAGGACTGGCATAAAATCATCCTTCGAATCCCGTCGCGACGAAATCCAGGTTCTGCTCCAGAAGTGGTACGAGCTGACTATTACCTACTACAAGGCGAACCCGACATGTGCGACCAGCAAGACTAATCTAGTGCTCTACCACCTAATCTCCCTCAACGCGATTACAAATTTCCCGGAAATAGAGAGGCTGGCTCGGCGCGAAGGATTCGACGGTTCTTACTGGGAACTGTCCCTGCGCCACAAGCGCTGCATATCCCAGCGCGAGGAGGCTATCTTCCACTGCGGCCAGGTGTTCCGCCTGCTGCGGTTGATGCCGCGGGACCGGAGGCCTAGCTGGTGGAGCGCGGGTGTCTACCGCGCGACGCTGATCCTCTGGACGGATAGCGTGTCGCGGCTCGACCCCAACTTCCAGAAGCGCGACGAGTCGGGGCCGCCGGTACCCATCGACCAAGTGACGCCCGAGGACCCCGCCGTCATCACCTACCTGTGGAACGGCGACGGGGTGCCGGTGCTAACACACCAACGCGACGGCACTAGAGCCAGCCTCGAGAAGCCGGGCGACGTGCTCGAGTACGCCGTCAAGACCCTCGAGGACGGCGTAAGCTCCCGGTTCACCGACGGCGTCAGGCGGAAACTCGTGACGCTGAGCGGGAACTGGCAAGCCGACGGGCTTACCGGCGCGGGTGCTACCGTGCAGGCATCTGCTACAAGTTTATGTTAACACAGCTAGGCTAGCTGGTATATCTTGTCTTCTCTTCACGATATTGCTCTACGATATAACGTTTTATCTTCTTCTTTTTCTAATCCCAATGTCTTAAAATTATACGTTACACAACACATAACACACATATATACATATACACATTACATCATGGAGGTGACAATAGCGGTGGGACGGGGCGGGCTGGGGAGGGGCATGGAATCAAATCAGAGATAAAAGGGGCATAGCGCAAACTAAGGTACACCAGCGCTGGCACATATACCCACGAGGACAGGACAGGAAAGGAAAGGAAGGGAAGGGAATACCGGGCGTGGGGAAGGACAGACTAAGATGATGATCATGATGCTTACCGGCTTCGCGTCGTCGCAGTGACGTTAAAGTAAATGGATGGAAGAAAGGCATCCTAGGCGTTCGGGAAGGGGGATCGGATCTCTTGCTTGACTTGGGCGGAAGTGGGACGATCAGTCAAAGACAGACAGACAGACAGACAGACAGACAGATATTGGCGATTGCTTACGGTGGTTGGGACTAGGCTCAGGATAACGTGTCAGATACAGATACAGATACAGATACAGGGGGTAAGGGGACTAGTTATCTTGCCCGTCTATCTATCTGTGTATATTCGCCCCCGGTCAGGGGCAGAAAGGGGGTTTCGGCGCGTACGGTATGGATGGAACATGCGGTTGCTTGCCTGCTTGCCTGCTTGTGCCTGCTTGCTTGCTTGTCTGCTTAGATGAACTTGGAATAGACAGCCGGTTTTTTTTCTTCTTCTTCTTCTTCCGCCTTCTTTCCCGACCTCATCTTATCTTACTTCTTACTGCGTACGCGTACATGGGAGCAAGCATGTCAATTCACGGTAGCCTGAGAGTGCGGGAAATTATTTTTCTTACTTTTCTCACTACTTTATTTCAGCGTTATACATATTTACATAGGTATTTACATGTAGCATTATTACAGACTTATTACACATCTTTACAAATCTTCGTTTCCATCTTTGGGGCTTCCCAAAATTTATTTTTTTGTTTTGTCTTCTTTTCTTCTTTTTTTTTTTTCCCTTGCACATCTTAACTTAAAGCAAGGAGTCCTTGTATGAGGTATACGAGGTCTAGTATAACCTCGATAAACCCGGGAAGGGGGTATTATTAAGCTATCCAGACGCTATACCTCGACTACGGTGGGAGAGGTCGATCTTGACTTATCGATGCGAACACGACGTCAGCCTTCCATCGATCATTAATCAATCTTACTTCCACGGCACGCTGCGGGCATGCGGCATAGCATCGCTGTCCTGTCCTGTCCTGTCCGTTCCTTGCCTTTGCTTCGGCTTCGCTTCCCATGTGGGAGTCTTTCTCCAGTATCTCCGCGATTCCCCGCCCCCCAATCTCCCTCCCCTCCCCCCCTCACCCCCCATAGTTCCATGTATCTATCCATCTATCAATCAATCAATCTATCTATCTGCCATAGCTAATCTCCCGTCAAATTCTCGCCTCTGCATGGCGCCGGCGAGATGCTAGGGCCCCCGGGGGCAAGGGCAGGGTACATATCTCGCCTAATTGCGCCGAAGCTAGGACGAGCTGTGATGTGGCGGACGCCACGACACGCCCTTCCGAAGCGCGCTGCGGGTATGATTCGAGAAGGGGAACACAACACGGCAGCTGCGCGTTAATCGTTAATCAACGGCGGGCCAAGCCACAATTGCCCGTCTTGGGGTGCTGGTGCGCCCACGCCCACGCCCACGCCCACGTATTCCGTATATCTCGTATTGTCGGCGCGTATCCGTTCTCGTGCCTAGACAGATAGATTAACTAACCCTTAGTTGCTTGGCTAGTGTGTGCCTACGTACGTGCGCGTGGGTGTGGGTGGAAGGTCTACGGCTCGGAATCGAACCGGACGGCTGACACCCCCTTTTGCCTACGGTAGCCTCCCGGGTCGCCGGCACGAACGACGATGCTAGCGCTGCTGGTTACCGCCTGTAGCGTGGGTATACATGTCGTTGATGTGGTATACGTACATACACGCATACAGGTTAAATATGCACGTGTGGTCAGCATCTGCCTAACCTATCGAACCATCTCTCTCAGTGTTCATTCGTAAGGTAGCTTTGTTATCTCCGCCGTTAGTGTTTTCGTTATTACCCGTATGGTCGAGGGGTGAGCTGACCTCAGCCTCCTTATTCGGAAAACATGTCGCAGGGACTCTTCCCCGCTATGCTTAGGTCTTCTGTAGCGTCCTCGCGCGCGCGCGGTGTGTGTGTGTCAGATTATCACCGACAATTAGCGTATATCGTGTCTGATGAAATAGCGTATATCGATGCCGGTAGTTGGTTCCGATATCTTAAGTTACATCCGTGACGGGTTACATTTCTTAAGTAAGTAAGGTAATATGCAGCCAAGTCTTGTTACAGATCCGTAACAGCTCGGAAGAATCTAGCCCACCCCTCGTACTCAGGTCGAGGACATCGGTTACACCTACATATGTGACCTACATATGTGACCTTCGATGCACTCGCTACCTCAGTATAAGTAAGTTAAAAGGCGTGCTATTATTGGAGTCACGTATGAATATTTGGCTTATTAACTCCTAATTAAGTTATATTATAAGTTTCGAATATTCTGGCCCTCGTTCTTTGCTCGGGGAAATAAGCATGTAAGCAGAAGCATCTTAGACCCCGGAATGCTGGAGTTCGGATTAGACTATCTTCCTAGTGCTTAGATCAGCCGGGGAGAGGGCGAATACTACTCTGATATGAACAGTACTGTGTACAACACTTATATTAACCCCCACGAGCTGTGAGATGTCATACATGAGTGTAGCGTGATAGATATCATGTAAAGTGATAGAGGGAGGGGTTTTTTCGACACGTATCGTGAAGTCTGCTTCTCTTGTTTTATTACTAAGGATCAACAACATCGGGTAGTTAAACCTTTTCTCGTGAATAACGAACGATAAACTTGATACATCCTTTTGAAACGTGAAAATGGCAACCTCCATAAAGGCTATTGCCAATTCAGTATGTAACGTGGATTCTATACACATCCTACATATTACAAGTGGGTATGTCGTTGTACGTGGTATTTATTAATGTAGCCGTGTAAGTAATCTCTTGGAACCCCCTAGTGTATATACATACTCGATCCCTGTCTCCCATCATCTGGTGTATGGAGAAACAAGGACAAGGGTTATGACGGGGGTAGCAATTCGGATTCGGATCTTTACCTAATGAGTATTGGTTACCAAGACAAAAGTCCAATGCGGCTATGAGCTTAAACCGATCTCAATTCATCATCATTGCGAGTTTTACAGGAAGAGGACTAGAGGATGGCCGTGGTGGCGGCCGGCGACGATGGATAGTAATGATTAAATATGCTATTCCATTCCGCCAATCATACAGAAGTTCTTTGCATAGTCCTCCTTCTGTCCTTCTGTGCCTAGACTTTGCCAAATCGTTCGAGCATGATGTGGTATTGTATTAATAGTATTGTTTGCTGCCTTACAAGTTACCAATAGTCGCAATTCGTTAGCTCCCTATTCGGACCCGAACTATTTCTCCATCGCCCCGGTAAACCGGCAAAAGGAATATCGCGAGCCACGTGGTTCCGTTAGAAACGATTCGGTATTCTCAAAAGTACGGGGGAATGATTATGCGATCGCGCCGGCCAGGTTTAACTCTTTCGCGATCACGAACTTCCCCTCTTCCTCCCCCCTCCCTCTTCCTCTGTGGCTTCATACCGTTTGTGGCGCTTCAGTCTAGCTCCTCCGATAACAAGGGAGCATTAATCCAACCCTCTCATCCGGCCGTAAGTGTGCATGATGATAACTAGAATAAGTTTGAAAATGCGTACCTATAAGGTTATATTACAACTTAAGTTGAGGATTCTTCTATCAGCTGAAAGTTGAAACTATTTCGCATTGGGTATGGCTTGATGAGCGTTCTTATCCCATATTCATCTTCAACAGCACCTATTTTCCGGTCGCCAAGTGCTTCGTTAGAGCGTTGGGCTTAGTCGAATGTGTCTTCATTCTTAACCAAGTTACTAACAAGACAACTCCTCGGAAATCAATACTTCTCATTCCAGATCTTCCAGATCCCTCGACCTTGCCACTTACCATTCGGGTGTCGTGTCTTGAATATAAACAGAGTATTCCAACGAAGGTATTTGATGTCTCGCTTCTCGCTTCTCGCCAATACTACTATGCCCGGAAGTCCGATGGGGGTGTAACTTCGGACAAGCCTTAGCTACCTACCTACCTGTAGCCACGTAAGCCAAGTACTCCCCTAAAGACGAGCCGCCGGCTAAGCTTCCAGGAGACGGAGGTTATCAACGCGACAATCTTCACTCAGTTGAGACCTCATCAGTTGGCGTTGAATCCTCCCCTCAACCACTGTGGTCATCCCTTTAATATATTTCAATATGCGTTGGCCGGGCTCACTTCACCTAATGAGGCCTGATCGACCCGCGCGTCGCGAACTTGAAACGGTCACTTAGTCAAGCTCAAGAGCATCTCCGTATCCTACCTTTAGAATCTTCGTGGAGGTCCGTAATGTGTGAAAGGCGTCTTGGGGAGCGGAGAGGGAGGCATAACGTCACATGACACGGCACGAGGGGTAATGTCTTAGATATAGGCATGTATTTCACATTCTAAAGGTCAAGTCAGTGTAGGTATATTGGTATATCAAAGAATTCGTCATAAAAATATGATGATGAATTGGTGATTGATCAACTCTCGCGCTTCGCGAGATGAGAATATACCGAGGTTACTAATATACACCAATCTAGATAAGAGCATAGTAGTGTACATTCTCGCCAGAGCGTTGGTAATATTCCCCTATTAATATCCGGGGTACTTCCCCATCTCCCTTATAAAACACATAGTAGAATCATACCTATAGTAAGTAGAATATCCGGGTCTCCTCAACCTCCAGTAAGACCTCCCTTCTCTTACCGCCTCCCTAGATTCCAAAGAGCGTCCCTGTGTCTGTCTGTCCGTCCGTCCGTCCCGTTAACTCCGCCCCCGTCCGCCACGATCTTGTCCGTCGTCATACGGATCTGGCTGCTTCCCCCCGGATTGGCGTAGCACAATCAGCGCTTCGGAGCTCCTTGGGGTTCAGCCTGCTATAAGACAACGCGAATAACAGTACCTGAAACTAAAAACCCACACGTCATCACCCCCTCCTCCCGCTCGTCTCATCTCATCTCATCTACTGCCATCGTTTCTTCGTCTTTGATTAGATTGCGAAAGAGTCTCCCCCCCTTTCTCTCATTTATATGCTCTACGGTCATTAGTCATTATAAAGACCTTGCTTGCATAATTCAACTGCTTTCGTCATCATGTCTTCCGCCGGTCCAATGAGCAACCAGGTCAAGCCCCTGGCCGGCAAAGTTGCCCTCATTACCGGCTCCGGGCGCGGCATCGGTAGGGGCATTGCCCTAGAGCTGGGTCTGCGCGGCGCTTCCATCGTTGTCAACTACGGACGCAGCTCGAGTTCCGCCGAGTCTGTTGTCAAGGAGCTAGCTGAGCTAGGCTCGAAGGCGGTTGCAATCCAAGCCGACATCTCGAAGCCGGCGGAGGTGGTCGCCCTTTTCGAGAAGGCCGTCGCGCACTTCGGCGGTATCGACTACGTCATCTCGAACTCGGGCATGGAGGTATGGTCCGAGGAGACGGACGTGACACCGGAGCTCTTCGATCAGGTGTTCAACCTAAACACGCGGGGGCAGTTCTTCGTCGCGCAGCAGGGGCTCAAGCATGCGCGCGAGGGTGGGCGTATCGTGCTTACGTCCTCGATTGCCGCGCAGATGGCCGGCGTGCCCAATCACGCCTTGTACGCTGGCTCTAAGGCTGCCGTTGAAGGGTTCACACGCGCCTTCGCCGTCGACTGCGGCAAGAAGCGCATCACCTGCAACGCCATCGCTCCTGGTGGCATCCAGACCGACATGTTCGACGAGAACAGCTGGCACTACGTTCCCGGTGGCTTCAAGGGCATGCCCATCGACAAGATCAAGGAGGGTCTTGCCAGTATGTGTCCACTAGGACGAGTTGGTGTCCCCGCCGATATCGGTAAGGCGGTCTACTGCCTTATTAGCGACGAAGGCGAATGGATCAACGGTGAGTTAGCTGCATTTTTTTCTCTCTTTTCTTTTTTCTCGATCCTTCCGCCAAGCTTATCTTAATTTCGTACCATGCTGACCGTTTGTAGGCCAAGTCATCCGTGCTTCGGGCGGTGGCACTTAGATAATGCAATCACACCCCCTTAATCTCCACTACGACGCTTCAGAGCTCACCGCGCTATCGAAAATAAGTTATCACACAAGTAGAATGGCAATTGTGGTAAATAGAAAGCATTGCAAAGATGGAATTCGAACTGTTAGCATTTATCTCACATGTATGGGATATTACTCGGTTTGACGAATCCGAGGACTAGACTATTATACTTATCACCTACGCTCATAGCTGCGCTTTTCGTGTTTACGCATTTTTCCATAAAGTGCCTATGTGACCGAAGTATCGTCCAATAGCATGCCACATGCCTACGGAAATATCACGGCGAGATGAGCCATAACGTTACTCGGATTTTGTATTTTCCTCCGAAGACAATATTTGCAGCTCAAGCGACCGATAGGATATCCAGTTTAAATCCGGAGGATGATGATACAGTCTATATGCGTGCTCTATGAGTTTGAAAGTATTGTATAGGTACTTACCTTGGTAGGTACCTATTTAGGTATTTAATGCTAGTCACGGTTTTCGTCAGCACCCGTACCAAAGTTGATGTTTATACGTATCGGTTACGCTGGGCATCTGGCTTGAGTCATATACGTTACCTATACGCCATAAAACTAATACGAGCAAGGCAGTAGGACAAGAAAAGGCATTTTATTGTCAATACTAACTTCTCGGATCATAGTCTCTAGCTTAGAAGACAGACTCGCGATCTAGTTCACAAGCGAGTAAAGCAAACACCGAATGAGGTCTCAAACGCAACGCAGTTGACCTACTCACCAACACGCGAAGATAAAATGTGCTGTTTTCCGTTCGTTCCGTTCAAGGTTTTATAAAATTGTTCTCGATCTCCGAGGCTAGATGATTAAGATAACGGTTAAGTGATGAAAAGGTGGGTTATAGTGAAATGAAGCCATCCACACGTAAAATGAGCGAGTTTCCTACAAGTTTGCTTCTCGTTGTCTACCTAGTTTATTCCATATATTTCCGGAGGGTGTTCCGAGCGAATGAAGCTGAAGTGAGGTGAGATAGCTGATGTAAAGGTAAGACCGAAGAGCCAGTTTCCATGTAAGCGTGTGTAAGCTAAAGTGATACATCTCATAAGGTAAGACGCGCGATGCATGTCTTATCATAACGTAACGATCCTGCCCTCGCATCGACTTACTGTGTGTGACCTAGACAATCCCATTTTTTAGATGATTTCATATCAGATTGAGCAGCGTCTTTAGTCTGTACATCATTTTCTTCAAGAATGCTACACTGAGGTTTTGGGTGCTTACGTTGGAGTGAAAAGATATGGAGAAGTCTAACTATGCCCATCCGTATGAGTGGACGGTCTTTGGTGCCACCTGAAACGTATGGAATAGATAATATAATGTGTTTATGATAGGTATTTGACGACTGAAATTTTGGAGCAGTGACAGCTGTATGGTGTATCGTAGAATAAGAGTGGCAACTGTGAATCGGTAAGTAAGCGGTATAGAATATAGCTAGGGACAGTGTATTAGCTGAAACTACGAGGATGATTGCACGCAAGACTGATATGAGTATGGGGTAAGGCGGAAGAGGGGCTCATGACGCCAGCGCCGTGCGGAAATAATGGCATGAAAATGCAGAAAAGAGGCGAAGGAAGAAGGGAATGAAGGAAGGATACCGCGAGTGCGCCCCTGTGGGTTGAGTAGGAGGTACAGAGGATTCGGTGCTCGAATGATTGATTCCTCATAACCGCCTGGATGGCAATGTCCCACAAAGTAATCTCACCTTTACTCGCGCATTTTGACGTGGGCCCTTACCCAGATCTTAGAAGGATCGTAAGGCCTACAGACACTGCTAGGGATAAGTCCGACTTCCTAGTGTACCTAACTCCGATCCAATTGCGACATCGATCTCTAGAAGGGAAACTGACAATAATTCGAATCATGTTTTGCTAAGAATTCCGTCATCCACCTTGTGTCGAGTGAGCCTTGATAACAGTGGTTGAATATTTCTTTGTAAACATTTCGCTTACCACATAAAGAGCGAATCAGGACAAATTCTGCGATGTAGTTATGATACGTAATGTATCTTAAATGTATCTTATTGGCTTGGTGTGCGACGGGCCGCTTTATACGCGGCCTGTAAGGTGACACGAGTAGACAAGTCGTTGCGGGTTTCCTATTAAGGCTTGTTCAGGGCCTCGATTAATAACGAGCTCACCATCCTGCCTTAGTAAGGTGTTCTCAACACCACTGATCCCCGGATCAATCGTATACTGCCCTAAGATAAAGCCTTCGGTATCACAGAGCTAGGGACCGATCCAAGCTTATATTTTCATAAATAATATCAAAAATTTGTTCGAACATAGCTGACTAGATAAGCCTAGGCATGCGTTATTTTCGTTAAACGTGTGGTCGAATGGGCTTGTACAAAAGCTCATACCTTTTGATGATGACTCATTTGCAACTCAAGAATTCAAAAATAAGACATTTTCTAGACGTCCCATCAACGGACCCTGGTTAACGGGGTAAATGGGACGATTTTGTGATGTCGCATGGAAGCTGAGAGCCAAGAGTCGGGGACCATGAGCAGTCTAGAACAAAGCTACCTGGACGTTCTGCCCCTGCAACGAATAAATTGGGATACGGCAATCAACCTCTGATGGGGCTGGGGATGACCACCCTATACCTGTGCCAGATAATTGCCCGGGTACATTTCTGGCACTAGACTATTTCCCATAAGTGGAACATGCTTATACCGTTGGAGCGACGTTAGGATGGGTGATACCTGCCTACCAACAGCGTGTACGGAGACCGATAATACTGAACTTCAGTCATAGACCGATAGAGGAGGCGTTAGGAGGCTTGCAGAGAGAAGGGCTGAATTGGTATGGTGGTGTGAGAGACCATCCGATTTGACAGCATGCACAACAGCAAACAAATGTAAGAGAACATCGACCCGAGGTCGCTGGGCAGCCAAGCTAATTCTTCGTATGAGTGCTTAGTTCTCTCGAAACGAAGTTTACAGTAGAGCTATTCGAAGCTATGAGAAATCTATCCGCCAAGGATGAGATATTTCATAGCAGGCGGGCGGCTGTGCAGTTGTATAGCCTCAATCGATAAGTGAACCGATAGGCTAAGAAAGGCGAGTTCATCCCATCTTGGAATTCGGGCTTCGAAGGTACCCCAGTGGACAAGAGTGTTTCATGCGTAATGAAAAAGCCATCTCGTGCTGCGTGCTGCGTATCCTGCACAGTAGTACCTATTCTAGGTTAGTATAAGCTTGTAAGATTTAGTGATGTAACGTTGGAACTTGTTTCGTTAACCACTAGAAGATCCCAGAGATGTGGCAGATGAAGCGCTATTGGTCCAGAGCTTTCCGCCTTGTCGAAACGTGGTATGCCTGACCGGTGTGAGATTAACCCATGGAACTAGGGTCGCATTGCAGATGTCAGCCGGCGAACCGATTGAAGTGGCCTAGAAGCTGCTCAAAAATCGAAGCCTCTGTCTGTGGGGGTATCACGACAAGAAGTCGGGCGCTTCTACAGGCTCGGCCCGTTTCACATCATTCGTCATTAGTTCGGGAGCGGTAGGTAGTCTAAGAGTGCAGGAAACTAGTCATATTCAGACGCGGATCGAGGGCATTCCGCAAGCGTCATTTCTAGACTATTCGTAGGTCTAATTAGACCATGTAATAGCCCTTAATTTCTCGCTTAAGGTGACTCGCTCTACATGCGCAGTGTTTTCGTTTCCTAGCTTGCTAGTTATTTCACATGAACCTCGTTCGTGAGACCTGCGCTAGGCATCCACTATAGATACGAAATGGTCCCAAAGACGCTTAACGATGGCATTGATTCGTAGATGGCGAAGAAGCATATTTCCGCTTAGAGTATATATTATAATATACTTCTATCGGCTTTCTTGGTCTGGAAATGTGTCATAATTCGAGGTAGTGAGCATCTAGCGATCCTTCACGATGGGATCTTCAACTCCCGTACGGTCGGGCTGGATTATGACATGGTCCATGATCCTGTGGGCGTAAATGTATAGATATGTGATGTATGTACGCAGGAACTATGAGAAGTTTCAGCTAGCTTAGCTAAGAGATCTCGTATATGATTTAATGCGGCAAGATATGAGAGGCGGAATGTGGAATGTTATATTAAGTGGAAGTTTTGGTGATGTGAGTAAAATGAAACTACCGGTACCTAAACTTAAACGATGCTGCCCAAGATCTACATGGTACATGGTACATGATTAGCGGATTACCTGTCTTACCTAATACGAAACCAGTTAGACTGCCCAACTTTGAGATAAACCGAGGGCCCCCCCGTGAGGGGAACCACAAGAGCCCGACTTTTAGCAAGGCTCATGCTTATGTCATCCCCTTATGTCATCTCCCATCCCCTTATCTCGTTTTTCCGAAATTTAGCCGCTCCCGAATCCCCACAGGGTCACGTGCCACCACGCCAGACCGCGCTCGGGGGCGCTCGGGGGGCGCTCGGCGCGCTGACGCGCGCCTCGCGCCCCCCTCGCGCCTTCCCTCGCGCGGCCCGGCGGTGGCACGATGCTCTGGCTATCTATTGCATTGTTGTTTATGTATCTTTTGTAAAAAAGGGAACGTGTGGGATTCAAGGGAACGTGTGGGATTCGAACCCGGCTTCCTGTAGAAGTCATATGGCGTTGTCCCGAAAAGGTTTAGTTTTTCACTAAGAACATGTGACCTGTATGTGGCCTTGTATTGGCATATGGCCACCTAATGTGATTGGTTAAATTTTTAGCCTAAACCTGGTGCACAGGCCACCTTTTTCCCCAATCCTCTTATCTCTCTTATCAAAAGCCTTATCCTCTTATCGGCTTATCAAAGGTCTTATCTCTTATCAAAGGTACGTACCACCTAAAATTTCCAAATTAAAACTAGCTTAACATTAGTCATGCAGTTAAAACCTTAGCCCCATATTTTAGCCTATTACAATACCTGGGACCCACAATTAAAAGGCACTAGTGGGTGCACAGACGAATTGCCTAATTAGGAAATATCCTTAACTTGGCCTGCCACAATAACCCTTTTAAAAGTCGGGCAAAGTTTAAAAGGGTTGCAGCGGGGTAAGGACCACTTAGTACGATCATACAAGGGTTTAATCTTAAGCTAGTGGGTTAGGTACACGGACCATGTATAGGTACATATATACATAGTATGTTTATGTGCATTTATACGGCGGAGTAATGCGTATGTTAGTCTTCATGTACTACATTAACGCGCCAACGTGGGATCAGGACATGATCTCAGGGATGATTTTGACGATTTGAAATGATTTCAATTACGTGAACAGCTTTTAACGATCTTATAAATGAGTAATGTTGATGATAAGACCCTCATGCGATTTGGTGATTCTTTTGAATTGAATACAATTATGTAAAAATACATCGTATTCAAAAGGACAAGGTCACGAAGTTCCGAGATTGTATGTAAAATACAAGGGTTTTAAAAAATAAGATACTTATTTTTTAAAGATAGTCACGTACTTTTAACATAGTCCCGGAGATCATTTTAAAACCTCGAAATTATGTTAATTTTAATATAAAAATATATAAAGCTATTAAGTATGTATATACCTAATAAAAAAAAGAAAAAAACATATAAACGTATATATTTATTTATATATAACATTATATTAACATTACGAATAGTTGAAAATATAAAATATCATTTATTACGATAAAATTTAAATTACAGGTTTATAAATACGATTATAATTACAATTACAATTATAATTACGATTATAATTACGATTATAAGTTTACGTGCTTTACGATTAAGTTAAGTTTTACGTTATTACGATTTTACGGGAAACAATAACTGGTTTATTATTATAATATATAAAGCCGTAACAAAAGAAAGCAGTTACAACTGGAAATATAAAATGGCAATAGTTTTAAAGCTAAAATCATCTCCGAAATCGTTTTAAAAGGCTAAAATCGTTTTAAAAGGCTAAGATTATCTTAAAAAGTTAAAATCATACAAATTTAACATAATTTTTATAATTATTTTAAATATAAAACTATTTTCATTAAATATTATCACGAAGACTCGAAATGATTTAATATGTAATATTATCCTGGTGACAATGTCGGGATATTATAATAATATTTAAATTTTTAAAATAATTTTATAAAGTGATATAATCCTTAAAATCATGTCTCCCTCCCACCCTGGCGCGGTAATGTATGTCCATATGTGAATTCCAAAATTAATAAGCCTATTGTTTACAATATATCTCATTTCTTATTGTATAAAACAAAAGCAAAAGTACATATGTAACTATCGTCATTTAAGCTTTTTAAAGGTTTGTTGCCCATAGTTATTTAGTGTACAGTTTATAAGCTTAAATTAGCCCTGATATCAACTTAAGTAGCTATTAAAAGAACTCCTTACTGCGCACGTGGGAATCACAAGCATGTGGCTGAATTATATCGACAGAGGTACCTAATGTATTCCCACCAGCCGCTTTAAAAGTGTCCCGAATCTTGCCCAATACAGGCAATCATAATGTTTGCATGACTGACTGTCTTGTGACTGTTGTCTCGGGTTACAAATCCTGAAGTAACAAAATATTGTAACATACGTGGGCAGCTAGCCAGATGCGCCTTAAATGCAACTTCGCCAGGCCAAGCTTTAAAACGCAAAAGTGGCTGGGATCTAGTTTGCGTGATCGACCACAACGTTGCCTTCTTGATATAAGGTGGGTAGGCGGGAAGAAAATAAACGGCGCCCTAAGGCTACACTATATTATAACAGGTTAAAGGTCTTTGCAAGCTGAGATAGCGCGCCAAAGTGGCTTGACGCCTCAAATTAGAGTATACGGTATAAATACTCTGTACTACACTTTGTTTAATGTCAGATCATGTATGGAATTATTCTAAGAATAAACATAATACCTAAATAGGTAGAACAATGGAGAGCGCGGATCTTCGTATCCACTTACACACATTGCATGTAGTTTACAGTAGATGCTATTACGCTGGCAACTCGGCTCCAGAGTAACCAAGCAAAATGACGCGAGCCAATGGCAGAAAATGGAGTTTTTCCTTCGTGTGTAGTCCGAATCTTGGGGTTCTCGACCATCACTTCGCGGATCACTGCTCAATAAAACCCCCACATATCGGAAGGTTACATCACGTCATTTGATCAATCATATCTAATAAAACCCAGGTTATATGTTATTCCTCATATAGACGACCATTTGTCAGTGGCATAGCCGCGTTGGGTTTATTCGTTACGTTTTTACTAGATTCGTACAATGTGTTTTTATATATCAAGCAATCTGATTATAAATCTAAATTAGGTATATACCTATGTAAGCAGGTATACAGCTATAGTTGAGCCCGCTGTAATTGCCAAGCAGTGCTAGAGAAGGTCTTGCTTAGTTCTAAGACATAGACATTAGTGATCTACATCCCGCGCTTAGATCCGCCGCGGTAAGATCCTTTTTAACACGCCAGAGAGAATTCGTGTGTTGAAAGCGATGGCCGTAAGGAGGGTGCGGAAAATAACTGATGCTACCCAGGTGACATGGAATAAGGTAACAATCGGCGGCAACTCTGCTCACGAGACTCGAGCAAAAACAATTACCTTCGACTCCGTGTGGGGAACGATAACTCAAAAGCTTTATATCTCGGCACTTTCTGCATGTCTTGTCATTGATCCCTGATTTTTTAAACAACAAATCACGATTGAAAACGGTGCAAATCTTAGCTGTCTAGGCTAACAAAACGATTACCCTGGTAGAGGCAAATAACCGGTTGCACACTAGAAAATGGCGGTGTGGAAGTACTGGACTCGATGTTTGAATTACAAGTCCAAGTTTCTTTCTATCAAAATGTAGATCTTGAACTAAATATTTATCGTTGTCGTGCATCATAATGATACATAGTACGCCTCTGAGCGGATCAAAGGAGAATAGTTTGATGCTCACCATGACAGCAAACTCCCCCTCCGTAATCATCGTAACCGTCCCATCATAACGCCGCCTAGCTTTCCAAAACAAACCACCGTCCAAATGCTACATAGTATTTCGAGGTGATAGCTTAACTTTTCCTATCAATCATCCAATATCCCGTGTGTGCCATACTCCTGGTGAGAAAAGAACGGGCGATTCTGACCCGGACACTACCCGCCTCAAAGCGCCAATGCCCCCTTTCATATACTGAATTTAGCAGTACTATCGAATATATAAATAAAAATGCAATAGATGACAAGAGAATCGAGGACGTCATTAAAATTAGCTGATCTGGAAACGTTTATCTCACTGCGTGTGTCGTCTTGGCCTCTTCTGCGTTACATCGTAATATCGTTTGATAACATGCGCTGTGATGCCGCGTTTGCGCTAGTGGTAATGGTGCTAGAACGTATTTTAAGCCGAAAACTTATAGCTTTAGGCAATAAAGGGCATATCGCCCTTTCTATGACTGATAACTTCGAGTGTAGAGCCAAGGTTCTGGCCGAGATAACCGATCATAGCCTTGGTAACTTCGGGGATGTCGGAATAATCAGTATAGACCACGTCTCGGAATCTGGAGTAGACCTCCTCCAATTTGCGGAGCTCCCTAGCTAGTATTTCAAGCTCGAGCCACTTTCCATCCTCGCCATTGAGCTGATACACGCCAAAGCTGACTCCCACATTATTTCCTAAGTTGTTCTGGGTCATACCCATGCTGCTAGCATCGAAATACAAGTTAGAAGCAGTCTTATAGAATGACGTGATTTTACTAATCACGGTAACAAGCAGCATGGTAGCGGTGTGTGTACCGGATCGACTCATGCATTTGTTGCAAGATAGCATGGCCGCGCATCCTTCGACAGCTCTTCGATTAAGAGACAGGATAAAGTCAAAGGGTGGCACTGCCGGAGCAGAAGCGTTATGCAATGCTTGAAGTGATTGTAGGCAGGCTGTAAAGCAGGTGCAGGAACCTCCGTTCATGGTGGACGACGGTGATCTATGACGTGGATCAACTGGTCTCATCGTGGGTGTTGTTGTTGGACTGGGGAAATAATTAGAAGACATGCTCGTCGGAGTCTGCACCTGGTTGTATGAGATCATATCTTGTGTGACTGGATCGGTCCACGCTATCGGCGTTGACATAGATAAATCGAACGACTGAGATCGCATCTGAGTACCGGCCATAGGGCCAGTGACGGGAATATCGCTGAAAGTAGCGCACGAAAGGTCTGTAGGTGGAGTCCAAGGCATTGCGGATGAATACATTTCAGGCGGAGCTGACATTGGGTCCTGCTCACCCATGGTTCCGTCTTCGACTCCGAGTAAAGAAAGACCTGCTGATATTGAAGGATTTCGACTGATATTACCATCAACACTGGTAGGCGGTGTGGTCCATCCCGGCTCGAAACTGAAAATATGTTCAGATGGAATTTGATGTGCTGTAGAATATGACATGTTCTTGTCTTCTATTAGACTGTGATGCATTTGCTGCATGTCCTGAGGGGCATTCGCATGGGCGCCTCCGCTATGCTCAGACTTAGGCTTGCCTGCCCGGCTCGAAGGCGAGTACCGACACTCGATACCACATGCTAGGCAACGGGAACATATGGGCCGAGCCTTAGAGCACTTGACCTTCGCCAAAAAACATCCATCGCATGAAGCTCGGAGCCGAGGTTGGCGAGCTTTGGTGGAGGCCATCGCGGTGCCGATATGTATCGATGTCGGAATAAGCGGGTAGTTTCCTGGCCAGGAATTTGGTTTTGAGGTGGAACGAGAGTGTGACAGAATTTGGAAACAACACGAGGATAGGTGCAATAAGGGTAGTATTATAAAATGGAGGTATGTATGATAGCTCTCATATGCGGTAACACAGAGCTTACAATGGTACGAGTTGAAGACCAAGCTAGAAGTGAAGTAGGGAACTGAGCCGGTTCGATACTGATGGGGAGATACGACGTATATTAAGCCCGGTACCAGACGAACGGAAAGGTAAAAGCAACGGAAATATCAGCCTGAGTGGTCTAGAAGGGTGTCTATGAAAGATATATAAGATATATGCGGAGACATAAGACAGACGAGAGGGAGTCTGCTTAAAGCGTACAGGGTCCCGATTAAAAAGGCTCAGGGGAGTGACTAAAACCTGATTTGGTGTTAGGGAAAGGTAGTAAGAGATAGACCCACATGGAATACGTAGGCTGTCAGAACCGGTTGGTGTCAGAGGCCCAATAGAGACAGGCGGCGCTTGTGGCCATGGGGATAGCTGTGGTTCGAGGAGGAGCCTGAGTTACAAGGTCGTCCAGGTGCAGCAAAATGCTGCCAGTATAGATGGGAATGAAAATACGGACTAACAAGTGACCGGTCTGAGCAGAGTCACAGAGCTCTTACATGTATGAACAGGAAGGCAAGGTAGGGTGGCTGTTAACTGGTAGAGTAGAGGTAGACAGGTACTACCATATTCCTAGTAATGCTGAGAGGTAATCTATAAAGCATAATGGAATTCACAGTGCTTCTGTAATATCTCCCTATGGAGATGAGCATACCCCCCAGAGATCGTCGGATCGAACAGCCGACTACGTAGAATATTGCTAAAGATCCATCAGGCAGATTCTACTTTGAAAAAAAAAAATGAACAATGTCAATAGCTTGGGGGAGCATGGCCGTTGATTGGTCCCGATGTAATGGCTGAACTCGGCTCGCAGTCGACACGCATTGTGTAACGGCGTCAACCCCACGATTGTACCTTGGTAGATTTATGATAAGGATGGCATGAAGATTTAGCTAGTAGGTTAGGTAGGTGAATCTAGCGAGAAATATGCTAAGTATCTACGTGTCTTAACACGCAGCTTGACGTAGGATACTGTGCCAGCATCACCATCACGGCAGGGCGGCCGTGGGAAGGAATGCTCACAGCGGCGGCAGTGACAGTACTGTAATAAGAAAGCCGCAGCGCTGTAACGCACGTTAGTTACCTGCAGACGGTCGATACAACACCCGAAGATGTGTGCCATGGACAGGGTATCGACGATAAATGCTTGGCTGGCTGGATGGCCAAGTGAGGCTATAGGTAGAGCTGTCCGACCCGGAACGGGATAGAGTCGAAGTAGAGGGGGGAGAGACTTATGCAGGTGTATTTTGGTGTACCGTGGGTTTGTATGGCCCAATGCAAAGATGTCAACATTTAGCAGACGGGTCCCTGAGCTATCTTGCAGTAATGGGAGATGAGGCTCGGGCCCGAAGGAAACAGTCTCACAGCAGATAAAAAAGAAGTAGGAAACCGATACTGGCAATTCAAACTCGGAGGATGCAGAGTTCTGATCTAAAAGGAAGAAAGTAATTGTTTAATAGCTCCAAATTAGGGTTGACTACCTGGGTATAGTATTACAGATGCGACGGATTGACTTGATGATGTTTGCGTTTAGTTCAAATTTTTTTTTTGGTTCATCGGAATTTTTGAGAGGAACTTTACATGTGATTACATAAAATATTATAAGAAGAGGGGTAGGAGGGGCTTAAGTTTCGTCTGAATAATGAAATACATAATAGCATATTTCTTAGGTATTCGGAAGGCGTAGTCGGAATTCAGATGTAATGGACTTATGGTTACCTGTTATACACGTTCATAACGTACATTAGTACCTAGGTAAGTACCTAGGTACCCAACTTAAATTTAATAATGCATGGTCCGTGCGTAAGACCGTTAACCTCAAAGCTGCCAAGATGGAAAATCATTGGAAAACGATTCACGATCCAACCTCTTTTCTTTGTCAACTCCATATTCTCTTGGCGAAGCCTCACCGCACCCCACCCCACGTAGGTATTCTTCTCATAGGTATTCTCTTAATAGCATCCGTACATCGCTAATTAGTATATCTGTCTGTGTATCCTTCATCGTATCTTCGTCGTGTTTACTTGATACTCCTTTCCTCACCATCCGCCTCTTCCGGTACGATTCCCCTTATTAACTTCGATGGATCGTGTATGCGTTTTAAGTTGCGTGGCAACTCATTATTCAGCCTCAGCCCTACCGATCCTTCAGTGCCACTTAGTAACACACTCACGAGTTACCGGTCCTCAGTCCTAATGACGAAAGCTCTATAGGACTCACTTGCCTCTCTACCTATAGTCTAACCTACTTAGTAGCATCAGCAGCCACCGGAGAATCGGTGTCATTCATTCTCCGGATTTACCATCGCAACTCACTAGGAAGTATCGAGTTGTGTGCCATACTAAGCGACCATGGCGTTTTCAAGCTTATGATTGGCTTCGTTATCTATCCCGCGGGTCGTTCTACAACGATTCACAAAACCTCTACATTACCTTTACAAGTTCCACCCCGCTGATAAGAGTTTCATCGTCGCTAGAGTAGTCCCATCTGGTATGGGGGGGTTGCTCGTCGTTCCCTTGAGCTTCTCGGACCTCCGTCACGCATCAGACGACCCGGTCAAGCTCATAATTATCTCTAGCGAATTGCCTACGAAGAAGCGGCCGAGGTAGGGTGCTTCCGTCATCTTTTCGGGGTGTGGTTAATCGGGTAGGTCTACCTTGAGTAACAAATCTGGGTAGCATTCGTCCGTGCTTTGAAACCCCGTGGGTTGCCTATCCGATTCTCTAACCCCTATCTCATTTAGTTCCATGCCTAGGCCAGCTAGAGCAGGTTTACGAATATGCTGTTACTTGGCGGTCATGGAAAAGCTTTTTTTTTCGTCGGAGTCGTAACTGAGTGAATTTACATTCGGCTAATTGGCTTGATCCAGCGATCTGAATTGGTTTAGATTGCGCCTCCAGGGTCTACGCTAGACGCGATGCGCGGAGAGAACCATTAATAAATTATTGGGGCTTTACTGAGACACTTCAGTGGCTGATTTGGGTTGGTCCTGTAGAGTCTTCCGAGATTCGGTCAGGTACATCCCAGGAAGCGGTTATAGTTGGGCTACTTGTGGCTTGTCATTCAGCTACCTCTTGTCCAGTAATTTCCCGTCTCTCTGTCGTAGCTTGAGTAACAGCGGTTCCCGAAGCCACTTCATCCCTAGCTGCATTCCAACGCAATGCTTGGCCAGGAACGCGGCTTTTCAGCTACTCACTCGATACGCCGATTCGCTTTAGCAATTTCGTCGATAAAGTTATCCCGTCGTCTTAAGCGATACCCCCCCGAAGGATCGCCTAGAAGTTTGCAATAGGCAATTCAGACATCGGATTTTGTGATGCTACATCAAATAGTTACATCAAATACCTCACTTAGCTACTTCAGAGATAGCTAAGGCCGAGTGACTCCTAAAGATGTTATACTTTTCACTTCGGAGAACCGTGTTCGGACAAAAAAAGCTACTATCGGAGTAAGCTATTTTACCATGGAGGAAAGACAGCTTTTGGATCTCATTCGAACTAGTCCTAATGATTTAACAGTGGTATTTAATTCGGATGAACACATGGCACGTGGCAAATTCGATGTTGCCCACACCATTTAGAGGGGAAAACATCTAAATGCTAACCCTTAGGTAGGTAGCTTAGAGGTTGTTCATTTGTAGTACAACTAGATCGAGACGACACACGATACAGCAACTCAAAGCGGATTAGCGACGCACCCCATCTCGACGACTTTAGCGCGGCGCGGGATATCCTTGCCTAACAGTACATGGAGCTTCTAACCGAATTCGGTTGCAACATTATACTGCCGTGATGCCTTTACGATTTGAAGAATAGACGCTCCAGCCAAGGAATTTTAAGATATAGCCATTATGCTAACTACGTCTTTGATTCTACGCATGTTTCAATCATACTCTATAGGTAGCCATTAAGTTCCAAGCGCCTGGTTTGCCTTTGGCCTTTATGAGCGTTTTCCTAATCGCGGCTAAGTAAAACCCCCTAGCAAGAGACTTTACCTAGCGTAGGACTTTATTGACTATCTCAACTCTTCCTGATCCAGGCACATTAACAATAACAACTTGAACTTACAGCTGATCATTTAGAATATTAGTAAAAACTATATGAGTCTACCGGGATCAAGAAGCTTCCTAAACATTTGCAAAGTCGAACTGATTACTACCTAGGTACCTTATCTATCTAACTAGGTTCGTCATCGCTCATCATAATATGGGACTCGAACCCTACACCAACTATTTAATATGAGGTGGATGATATACCAGCGCCAATGATATATCACTCTCGATAAATATTCTGTATGTCTTCGATGAGTTCGGATGAGTGATGCTGTTGTGTATGCTTGGACAGCATGGCTGCTGCAGTGGACTATTGGAAGTCGTGATCTACTATTTAGTCGCATTGCATAGACTATAGTTGAACATCAAAGTCACTAATGCTTACCCAACGGTTGGATATCATGCCTTAGCAGTTCAAGATTCTAGTATTAAACCAGCTCTCCCGAGATCGCCTTGGTGATTGGCAAAGCCCGGATCAGGGACATATCCTTGAATCTGGACTTTTAGATCTCAAAGCTAATCTATAAATCAAGCTTTTACCTCCTATTCCAGGTGCCCCTGACGAGCTAGGAGGAGAGCCGTATTAAAGCGCACATCTGAGAGGCAGTCTTGGATCCACTTACCTGCACAGTTCTGGTTCCTCGACAGAGGTCGAAACCATCGCAAGCTCTCATAGGAGAGGAATGGTTGGTAATTCGACCAAGTTTCAACCACTCATCATCGGTAGGGCTCTTCCTTGCCGACGCCGAGATCCTTTTAGCGACATGACGGGTTTCGATCCCGGCTCGGCTATGTGGCCGGGTATGGCACTGCACGTGCGGATAGTACGAACGGAAGAAGATGCCGGAAGCTCGACGCTCCGGTGATATTCGAGTCAAAGTGACAACTGTGAACCTTGTCGTGCCCTGACTAACTAAACTAAGCTATCCCATGCCTCTGGGAATTACTCAAGTTTATTTCCAGGCTAATGCACTATCACAGGATAATGAACGTCCATCCACAACGTACCCTCGGAGCATGCTAGACGGTATGCGGGATATGAGGAAGTTGGCTTTAGAAGGCCCTTTCTTTCTATAGGGCTCGTAGGTACCCTTTGGTCGCGCAGCATCCCAACCAACTTCGGACGAATCTGCGAGACGAGCCAGTATATTTCCTCGCCTTGAAAGTACGAGATTTCGTGATACCCCGTGTCGGCTCAGGTAAGACGTGTAATTAATTTTTGGTAGCATCACAGACAAGCACAACTTGCTCGATGCCCCCCACGAGAACCAATCGTGTCCACTAGGCCGGTTATGCCGTTGCATGTCAGCCTGTGAGATTAGGACCCGATATGCTTTCTACCCGGAGCTTCTTGTTTGCTTTGTTTTTCCCACCCTTCTCTCCAAACCTTACAAACTGTAGCTGGTTTAGAGTGATTACTAGTCTGCCACATCCCTTTGCGAATCATTAAATGACTAAGCGGATCTGCACCGGGAAGAGGGAAGAGGAGTACCGGTATGTAGACATGGCCAGCAGGGGAACGTACCATATGTCACTCGATGCATGGATCCGTTATGTAGAATAATCAGGGCGGGCGCATGAGAGGCTCAACAATAGCATATATGCTTTTTGCCCTATTTCCTATTTCCTATCCTGGGCACATTTAGGGATATCTCTCAGTCACTATGACAATATGATTATCTGGCCAGGCCGTGGTGATACTAAACAGGCAACTGAAGAATGCAACTAACGAGCTTGTCTTCCCCGTTTCGACGTCCTTGACGTCCTTGACGTCAGTTTTTAGACAAAGGAAAGACACGGCAAGATGGTTCCGGTTTCACAAGCTTGGCTGAAATGGAACAAAATATCCAATAGTATTTGAAATTCTCCGACAGAGACTTTCAAATGCCGAGGCCTTGGAAAAAAAAAGGAAAAGACGAGATGTCTAATCTAAGCTGACTCTAAAACATGCCTACCTAACACTACGTGATGAAGACACACCACACCCCCATACCCCCCCCAAGGAATATATTCCCCCTCCAGACTATTTGCCTCGTCTCCCCTCTCGCCGTCGCTCGGCGGTATTCGTGTCACTAGCTCGCGAGCCTATTTACTGTCGTGACACGTGAATCTCCTTTATCGCCCTGATGGCCTAGCAAAAAAACCTACGAGTGGCTGCTGCTGCTGCTGCTGCTCGACGTCCCACGCGTGGGGCGGGACTAGAGATTTATGAAAAGAAATAAAAGAAATAAAAAATAAAAAATAAAACCCTTTGTACCTAGTTATTCAAACCTTTGGCCCTGAAAGCAGGCAGGCGAGCAAAGTACCTCTCTGCCATGCATGCGCGAGCGGCATCGAAACGTGGTGTTTCTCCTCCGCGCATGGCGCCCGCTGCTGTGCCACCCCAGCGTCTTCTTGTCTTCTCTTGCGTGTGGCCTGAGCTACGTCGGATCGCCTCGTCTCTGGCGGGGGGAAGGGGGGGGAAGTGGGTTGGTTAGTTAGTTGCCTGTTAGTAGGAGGAGGGCGGCAACGATGCGGAGGATGATAGAGATAGCCTGCCGTGCTACTGGAAGTTGAAACTTCTCTTTTTTTTTGTTTTTGTTATCTCCACGACGGATCAAGAGTGCTGAGCGGTTGGTGAAGAGCACGAAGCGCGAAACGCGGCATAATCTTTTTTATTTCCTGGCGTCGTAAGGGGGCCCCCTATTCGGCCCATTGTTCGAGGCTGCAGATGCTTGACGTATGTGGGCGAGTCGACTGGATTGTCACTTTGCCTCCTTCCACTCAACGTTGAGGATGGCGGACGGAAGGATTTGGTCTAGATCGTAGAGCACGCTGGTTTTGTAGAAGTGGCATATATAAGCGAACAGAACAGTTACAGGTCATATCTAGCCTGCAGTCCTGACTTTCTCCTACTCCCCCCTTTCTCTCTCTTCTTTTTTTCCCTCCTCGTAGTCGATCATATAGTCAGGTTGCACACCCATACTGGCTATCTGCCCTGCGTTACGGGTACCCGAAGGGGATCCCAAGTCCAGCATGGATTAGGGTCGACGCCGTGCATCCCATCCCATGACATGACCCTCGTTGGGCTCGTCAATATGCGGCCGTCCGATATGCCGTGCGCTTTGTGTTATAGATATGTCTGCGACAACGATAGGCTCTGCGATCATGGGACGCAGCGCCACGACTGTCGCAGTTGAGAAGGTTCTCTGATCGAGAAAAGAAGAAAACAAAGAAAAAAAAGAAAAAAAAAACCGGGAATAATCGATTTAACCGGAGGCGAAGCGAGGCGAGGTGCGATGGGAAACCGGAGGTGATGGATAGAGGTAGCCATGCGAGGCTTCTAGAAGATGACGCCCCCCCGACGCCGGGAATATCGAAGGCTCGGCGTACAGCGATTCGCCGTGCGCTTTGACATGAATCCGGCTGTGAGGGAGAGGACGGTCGGATTACTAAGTTCGGAAAGATATCCGTGGACGACGTTTGACTAGCTGCGCATTTTTGTGTGTGCTCTCTTCTGCTGGAGGTGATCGTGAAGGGTTGGTTCAGTGTCATTGGAATCGTGTAATGTTTCTCATGAGCCTCAATATACTAATTGAAGCGCAACTCTTACAACGTCTTACAGTCTTACAAGTATTGGCCTCAATCATGTTACAAACTGCAGTATAGACGGAAGCTTTTATTCATACCTAAGGTAAGGAGTGGGTAAGGTAAGAACCCTCCCCCCGCAAGATTGAAAAGGTCGTGGGCAAGAGAGAGTTTGACGCTTTGGTTACCGCATAACGTCGTCGCTAATGTGGTGATGCTGAAGAGTTGACAAGACAGAGAGAATGCGTTGAAAAGTGAAACAAAGCACAATAGGTGAGACTTGTCTTATGCCAAATCGAATGATTTTGATCTCAAGTGTCGAACGATACCAATGCAGTGAGACTGTTACAATTGAAGCACAATTCAAGAAGTCATCAGTATGAAACAAGTCGGAATCAAAGAGCGTAAAGAATCTATATATAAAGCTTCTTTAAATGCCAGGACTGCTGTGCTAGAATCCTCGTCTAAAGAGGGGCTAATTGAATACATCGTGGTAGGCCAGTAGTAGTATGTATCAACGATCCACGCCTGCGACAAAACTTCTATGAATAGGTCCTGATCTTCATTCCTCACACCCGAATACTCGCAGCGCCGACTTCCTATAGTGATTCCATACCGAACGAGCCGACGATATTATAAGCCCGAATCGTCCCAAGCCCGTACCAAACATGAAGAAGAAAAGAAAGTGAGCGTAGCCCTCCGGGATAACATATATACACTGTCAAGGTTATGGTCTTACACGCATAGGAGACAATAGTGAAAGAGATATGTCAAGCCTGTTCGCTCTAACGGTGGATGCCTTCCTTCATGAAGCTGCCGAGCTGCTTCGCGAGGTCGCCGTGCATCATCGAGAAGTGGTTCCCGGGCATGTGATAGAACTTAGTTTTCTCAATGTCGAGGTACTCGTCCCACCGGTTAGGACCGAAGTCCGTTCGGTTGTCAAGTAGGAAGAGAGCGTGACCGGTGGGATACGGATCCGGACGCGGGTCGGTAGGGAGATGGCAGACGCCGTCTTCGCACCAGATAGCGGTCACCTTGGGGCACTTGTCCTTGGGAATAGGCTCTGCCGTGTAGTTGGACAAAGCCGTGACAGAGGCAGCGAAATGTGGCAAAAGCCACTCGGGGATCTTCTTAGCTTCCGGGCTGTCGCCCTCGCCAAGGAGGCCGATTGAGGCGAACCAAGCGTGAAGACCGGAAGGCAGAGGCTCGATGGTGATAGGGCAAGGCGAGTCGATGAGAATCAGGTGAGATACTTCATCGCCAGCCTTGGTCAACTGGTTCACGATCTCGTAGGCAATCACACCGCCAGCGGACCAACCAGAAACGGCGTAAGGTCCCTGTGGTTGACGACGCTTCATCTCCTCGATGAACTTGGTCGCCATCCCGTAGACTCCGCACTTGTACTCCTCAGGAGTCCTCATGAAGGGCGAAAACATACCCCAAACAGCGATATCTTCACCAAGCTCCGAGATTTCGGTGTAGGATGTGGCGCTACCACTGCCGTCGGGAATTATGAACAACTGCCTAGTAGCCGTTCGGTGGTTACCTTGAAGTAAGACGGACGTGGCCTTTCGGTGAGGGTAAGCATCATTGACCAATACAGACTTTGTTACCGCAGTGTCAGCTTTGGTTGCAGCCTTAGACTCAGTCTTGACCTTCGCAGTTTTCGGTGCAGCAGGCTTCGGGGCAGGTGCTGCACGCTTGGGCTTGTCCTCAATTCCAAGCGTTCGCTCAATATCCTTCAGAGAAGGATTGTGGCCCAGGAGGTCAGACGGAATGTTGAGGCCGGTCTTCTCACGAAGTATACCCAAGATGGACAAGCTCATGAGAGAGTCCATACCAAGCGCAGCCAAGTCAGGAGCAGCGACAATCTCTTCGACTTCGACACCCATCTCGGCACAGATAGTCTCCCGCACGATCTGCTGAAGCTCACTGGTGTTCCCAGAACCACCAGATGTAGCATCACCCTTTACTGAGCCCTTGTCACTCTCGCCGGGAGTAGTGACTTCAGAGTCCGACTCGATATCATCGTCGCTGTCGGAGGTACCGCTTGAGCCGCTCGACTCGGAAACAACAATTGTCGTGGAAGATTCGAATTGGGAGAGGAACTTCTTAAAAGCACCAATAGTGCTGTGCTCATTGAAGGCATGTGAGTCAATGTTCAATTCAAGATCCTCACGGAGGCGGCCACTGATAGTGAGACCCATCAATGAGTCAACACCAAGGTCAGAGAAAGCGATGTTGTCCGCCAGCTCATCATGACTAACACCAGTTTCCTTAGAGATAATGTCAATGACTTGAGACGTAACGGAGGTCTGGGCGAGCTTTTTGTTCACGGCTGGTAAGTTAGAAGTAGTAACCTGCTTCTTCTCCTTGACAGGAGCCTTGGCGGCCGCAGGCTTAGGAGCGGGTGCTGCGCGGGAAGAAGCAGCAGCGGCAGCGCCTTGGGGAGGCAGGACAAGGTTGAGAACCTTGCGGGGAATAGCCTGGAAGCGGATGTCACCGCCGACACCGATGAGCTTATCGCCATCGAATATGTAAGCATCACCAGCCATCATCTTCGTGCCCTTAACATTTTGCATGCGGATATAGCTCTGGTAGGTCTTAGAACCATCCAGACGCTCAGCAAACCGGATGCTGCCCCAGCCGTGAGAAATGTAGACCTGCTCCCGGGAGTCAACGGCATCAGTACCGTTGACAATGAAGCCAGAAATGTGGCAAACAGAGTCAATCCAGTATGGCGGAGTGTGGAAAGTTCCGTATTCAGGCCCTGCTTGGAAAACGATTTTAGCAGTCGCCTCGCAAGTCTCGCTGTCCAAGATGACGGATTCCATGCCTCGGTATTGCTGGTCGTAGTCGACCAAGGCTGAGAATAGTTTGTAGGCAATACCGCGCCCGACCTTTGAAGCATCACCGCGCTGCTCAGCAGCCTTAAGCGCGTCGATGCGTGCCTTGATCAAGTAACTAACACGTTCAAACTCATCCAGCCACTGCTGGTTATCCCCGAAGAAGACTTTGCAGACAGCATGCTCAGTCTTCTTAGCTCCCTCACCAGTCGTAAATGAGATGTCAGCCACATTCTCGGCCGCGTTAATCTTGACATGCATGCGCAGGATTTGACTTTCCAACTTGCCATTAAAAATGAGGGTCTTGGGCACTTCCATGTTGGCGACATTCATACCAATATCCTTAGTGTCAGGTCGTAGAAGCTTGTAGCCGTACTCGCAAATAGTCAAAGCCATATCCCCATAAAGGGTTGATGGCGTAAGGGTAGTACCATTAACACGATGACCCTCACAGATCTTTCGCATGTTCTTCTCCACCAAGTCCGATTCAGTCTCGAGGATAGCAATGTCGCCGTTAACTTCCTCCTTAGTGACCTTCTGGACGGTAGTTGTCGATAGCTTCGGCTTGCTGGGCTCGAGGGCCTTAGGAGCAGCCAAGGCACCTCGGTTCTTGGTGAGAGACCAATCGCCGGTGTACTGCAGCCAGTAATTTTTTAGGTCGAAGGAATAGGTTGGTAGGTCGAGTAGGCGAACTGAATTATCGAAATCTCTGTGATATTCGTTCCAGTCAATGTTCAAACCTGCCGAATGAAGCGTAGTTAAGGTTGAGCTAAGAGTCTTGTATGTAGCTTCATTGCGACGCAATGATGGTACAGCAATTGTGCTTGCACCAAATGCAGCCTTAACCATATTAGCACAGACAGGGTGCGGGCCGACCTCAATCCAAACGGTCTTCTCATCGATAACACCCGATTGTTGAGCAGAGACGAGGCCGCCGAGGAAGTTAACAGCCTCCCGAGCATGATCACGAAGGTAAGCTGGGTTAATAGGCTCACCATCGAGAAGCTTTCCGTGGAGAGGGGAAATAACTGGAATTTTGGGCTGCTCGAAATTAACTGAACGGGCCAACTTCTCAAAGTCATCCAAAATCGGCTCCACCTGAGCCGAATGGAACGCAAAGGGTACCTTGAGCTGAGTGCACTTGAACCCGGCGCCACCAAGCTGTTCCGCGATCTCAGCCACCTCAGAAGACGTTCCGCTGAGGACGGTTTCCCTAGGACCATTGATGCAAGCGATGTTAGTCGATGATGCACGGTCACCAAGTGCCTCCGTAACAGTTTCGACGGAGCCTTGGACAGCCAACATTGCGTGAGTACCTGCTGTGCATTTTTCAACAAGGAGTTGAGCACGAGCACCAACGAGATAGATGGTATCACTGGCGGACAAAACGCCTGCGACGTGGAGGGCGGCGTACTCGCCCAAGCTGTGACCAAGGACAGCACTAGGGTGAATGTCCCAGGAAGCCCAAAGCTTAGCCAGAGCCATCTCGAAAGAAGCTAGGCCGAGTTGGACGACAACAGGGGAGATCTTTTGAACCTCGGATTCGCTACCATCTATAAGAGGGAGGAATGATGGGAAGCCATGGATGCGAGCGAGTTGGTCATATTCGTTGATAGCTCGGCGGAAGATAGAGTAGTGTGCATAGAGATCCCTTCCGAGGCCAGCATAGTGAGAACCTTGACCAGTAAACAAGAATGCTACCTTAGGTTGCTCTGGAGATACAGGTACGAAGTTGTACTTGAGGCGCTCCTTGATCGCTTCTTGGGCCTCAACCAAACTAGTGGCAGTTACGTTCATGCGCCAGTAGTGCTGAATCTTTCGAGCAGTCGTAGTATATGCCACGTGCGAGACAGAAGTAGAGGGGTTCTCCTCCATCCATTGAACTAGCTTTTCGGCGTTTCGGATCATAGCGGCCTTCGACTTGGCAGTGACAGTAATTACATGATGGCTGCGAGGGTCTACGGTAGCCGTCTTGTAGCGGGGTCCGTCCTCGAGCAATAGACCGGTGTTGCCACCCGCTGCGCTAAAGTTGTTAACAAAAACGCGCCTGGGTTTTCCATCCTTCCTTACGAAGGGTGTCTTGTGGAAAGCAATGTTTACGCCGCGTTCGCCAAGGTCCGATGGGAAAGTCTTGTTAATCTCCTTTTTGATTCCGATGTGAGGCGGGATCGCATTCTTTTTCAGCATCATCAAGACCTTGAT